TCTCTTTTGTTTTTATCTTAATTTGAACAGAATCTTGTAGCTTTTGCATTACTGATCTGTAGCAACATTATAGCTCAGAATGTAATTACATGGTCACATACCGTGGGATTTGTGCCACTTATAAAATGGGTGAATTCAAAGTGTTTTTTTAATGGACCACATGATGCAAAGGCTGGTTTGAATCAATTCTTTTTTTCCCCCCAAACCGCCCCCCCCCCCCCCACTCTGCTGCTGAAGAGGCTTTTACTTTTTCAAGCTAGAACAATTCAAATGGGCTTTTGCCCATACAGTTATTTGTGATCCATTCTTATCAAAACAGGTGAGATAGGCAGTAGGGGGTGTGAGGTTCAGGCCCAGGAGAGGACATGTAAAAGCAAAGCACTGTGATTTTAATTTGTGGGATCGGGTTCTAGTCCTGAATCCTCTCAGATTGTGTGAGAAAGACTTTTTGTTGTGAAGCAAAAGCTTAGAGCTGTCAATTGCTTAATTGGCAGCTCTGAAAGTGTCATTAAAATCATGTTCCTCTTTCCATCTATAACTTTTTCCTTTTACTTTTAAGTAACACATGCAGGAATTATCTCATCTCTGTTCACATATAGTTTTAAACTATGATAAACTGTGAGTAGATATGAAGTAATTCCTGCATGTGTAACTTGAAAGTAAGGAAAAGGAGTAATGGATGGGATGGGGAAGCTGGTGATCCCTGTTATGGAATCATTCTGGTATGTGAATTATGATGTATTTTTCAAAATTACTGTTCAGATATTTGATGTTCTGTACTCTTAGACTGTTAAATAACTTTCCATGTAATTTTTCTATGGGAAAATGTTTGAGAAAGCCTGAGTTTTAAATGGGAAATTGGCTTAACTTTGAACCATAAACATATCAGCAGAGGCAGGACCAAAGGAAGGAACGATTGGCAGAGGCAGGACCAGAGGATGGAAAGAAAGACAGGGGGCTGTGGGCTGGAACGTGATTTGCATCCAGTTTGAACAATTAACTCTTGAATTATCTGCAGCCCTGTGTACCTACTGTGATTTCAAAATTAATACAGGCTCTGAATCAATTCCAGTGCAACCAAAACCTCTGTTAAAATTAAATGTGGAGAAGTTCATATAGATTTCAGTAGGTGAACTCATAGAGCAAATCTAATTAGAAAGTTCCAGATAGATTGGATTGATTATATGAACAGAAATTGCTAAGTTAGCATCAGTATAAGTCCCATTCATTCAATGGTTTACTTTAAGTGGAAATAAAACTTGTATTTAGCCCATAAGTTGTTGTTAAACACTGTATTTTACTATCACATTTGCTATGAATGGATCAGTCTGGTCTATTCATGTGTCTTGTTTCTTCCACTTCAGAGTATGATTAAAAGTGCTATTGAAACTAATAAATCTCATTGGCAGAGTCTATTTTACTTTTTCCGTTAGTAGCCATATTCATCTTTAGCATGCATCAACACTAGCTTTTATAAGCTAGAAATATAATAATATTTGTAGACTTTTAAAAAAGAAAAATGAATATTAATGTGTTCCAGTAAGTTATATACTTTTTATTCTTGGAAATTATATAGAGAAGTTGTATGGTTTTCAGGAACTTAAGATGTACAAACCGATATTAGTGCTTTTAATGAGACCAAACCTCTAGCTGGTGGGTCACATGGTTATGGTGTATTAGAATAATTAGGACTCAGCACCTGCCATGTCTTCCTTTTCATTAGCACCAGTGATGATCAAGAATAGTAAAAATACAATGTTTAGTTGGAACAGGATGTATATTTTGCCTTGTCAGCAGAGCTTCTGGTCCTGAGAAACACCTTCATTTCCCCCTCAATGGAACAAATCTGTGGTCTTGATTCTCTAGCCTTATTTATTTATTTAAATAAGGTCTTTGGAGACATCAGGTAAGAGATTCAGGCATAGAATGTGATACTGTTTGGGTGTGAAAGCTAAGCTAGCCTCTAATTTCTGTTGGACAGAAATGTGGATATTTAAGGGATTGTCACTCTCAAATTGGCCTTCTCAGCCACACTAGATGCTGTTCCAAGTCCTCTATTCAGAGCATGTTAACATAGTCTCTCGAGACTGAAGGATGCCTAATCTAATCTAAGAAGAAATTTCAATTGTATTCATGATGAAGGAAGACAAGCTGTTCAGTGGCTGAAATCCAGTTATTTTGTATAGTAAATTGCACTATAGTAAGTCCATTGCATATGTGAGGTGTGTCATCCTCTCCATATGTTTTGTTGATTTAAATGCACCCACTCTAGTTGTGATTTACTTTAGTGTAATAAACAGCAGTTAGAGTAGGTAAATTTGAATCAATGGAATAATGGAGGAGCTGACTCACCAAATCTCCACTGATTCAATGGGCATACTCTAGTGAGTTTTACAACTAAGTAACAGGATTTAAACCAGTGAGTCATTCACTGAATCCTAATATATTTTAATTCACAATTTTTAAAGCAGTAGCCATGTTGGTCTGTTTCAGTGTGTACAACAAAAAATGAAGGTGCTGGGTTAGCTTAAAGACTAAGACATTTATTTCAGTGTAAGCTTCCATGGATTGCAGTTTACTTCCTCAGATGCATGGAACATACTAAGTCACAGGTAAATCTAAATGGAGCACATGGTATAGGGATAGAGAAAAGAGGAAGCCAGTTACATTGGTAGTGGGCTTTCAGAATGACAGTGATGTTGTTAACATTAGTAATGATGAGTTAACTTGCTGATTAAGCAGATATGCTGTTATTAGCACTTAGATGGTTTCCAGAGAGTGGACTGAAATTAAAATCAAGTCAAGGAATATGCAGTGTGCCAAGAATCCTCAGTCCTTGTTTAATCAATATGATGTCCATTGGAATCTGAATATAATTTAATTACTTTTTCTTGGGCTTCTTTACTTTAAAAACCAATTGACTATTCCTGAATTTCTCCTTGCTTGGTTCTTTAACATGGAATTGGAAAATGGAGATAATTTGGTTGTTTGGAAATTAACCTAATCCAAGTGCTGTATTACTTGTCACAAAGACGTTATTCTGGTTATTGCAAAATGCAAAGGAAGCTTTGAGAAAGGCTCTCTTCTTCTCCAGAAATATATAATTCTGCAGTCTTACTTATCCAGGATGTAAAGGTCATGAAACATTTTAGTGTTGAGGGAAAACTGTATACAAAGTCTGTTTTGTAGCTTGTTCTGCTTGGCAGGGTTGGAGGTGCAAACATACTGGTTTGTCACACTAATGTTCCACCTTGCTTTTGATTTTATGGTTTAATTATATATTTTTATATTTCTAAGAAGTGTGTGTGAGTGTGTCTTTATTCTTAGTGAGTTTCTCACTCTCTGGCTGTATTGGATACTCCAGAAGTGAAGTTTCTCAGTGAGGCCAAGGGCCATTTTTCAGATTTGCCAGCAGTCCAAAGGCTGCACTCCCAAGAGAGCAGGGCAGGCTGAAGGGGAAGAAGCAGTCAAGAAGCTATTTTATATTTTGAAGTGTTTTTATTATTAACAGTGCAGTGGTAACACACCGTGCAGGGTGCTATAGTGGGTTTTAATTAACTGGCAATGGGTGTAAATTAAAAAAAAGATTTTAATTGAAAATGCCCCCTTGTGCTGTCTCTTTGCTAACCTTTTTTTTAAAAATTGGTGTGTTGGGGCCACAGGGATACTCCTCCCATTCAAAAATATGACATAATTGCTCTCACATCCCCTTGAAGGCACAAGGGGTGTGTATTTTTTCAAAGTTTTTTTAAAATAAATTTGTGGGTATGGAAGGTGACTGGGGAAACCACGTGGAGGCCCACCTTGCTCTTATTAAACTTACCAGATTAATTACTTATAAAGCATCCTATCCATTTAATTCAGAAACCATCTCTACTGTGTTCAGCGGGGGCTTCATCCCATAGGGGTCGGCTTAGAATTGCAGTAATAGTGAGTCTTCTGCTCTGCAAGATGGGCAGAATTGTAAATAGATAACACAGCCAGGGATTGGGAAATGCCATGAGGTTGATGAATGATTCCAGTGATAAATGAAACATGCAATCAGCTAGCAGTTTCTCTGTGAGAAACAGGGCTGTGTTTCTTTTGTCTGGAGACCGCAGATGTCTGTTGGAGGCAAATATAGTTTCTAGCTCCTGCAGGAGCAAGGGAAAATTTAAACAGCAGCATATGAATTTTTAGAAGAGCTCTCTGGAGATGGAGTTGGTCTGATAATATTAGGTCCGGGTGAAGATTTACTTACCTTGCAATATGGGAATGACTATTTAGGTGAGCCCCTGCTCCAATCCCTGCAAACGATCTTTTGCTCTCCCTTTAAGTCAAGAATATTAAATCTTATATGCATACTTTTCTCCCTGTTCAATCTCCTGGTATTTATCCCAAGGGCTGGGTATTCATCATACAAAAGAAAATTGCATGAGCTTGGCTGCCAGGGAACAAAGCCTGATTTAGGGGCAGGTAAGAAACAAACTCAGGAAAAAGAAATTAACAAGTCAATGTATGGTCTTCCCAATCTTCAAATTAACTGTTCCATCTTCTCCAGTTACATTCACTGTCCTCTAGCTATTTACTATTGCTCACTGGTCTTGAGCTTCCCTGCAAAGAGCAGGGTGGATATAGCATGAGCTCTTCTCAGCCATAGATGCTTCTTCTTGAGTGCCCATTGCCTTCCTACCTGGTGGGCAAAAGTGCTGCTGTCCCTGCTTCCAGCCCTGCCCGCCAAGTGGCAGTGTGAGAACTGAACACACATGTGAGACAGCGTACAATCCTGTAAAAACATTTCCTCCCAAACATTTGCATTATCCTGTGATAAAAAAAAAATAGCTGCACAGAATATTTATTTGCAAATGTTCATTGTATAAATATTATGTTCAGTGTAGGGTCTTGTGTTTTCCATCAGTCAGTAGGAACATAATGGTCCAAAACTGACCCCAAATTGATGCTAAAAGACATAATGGTGAAAAACACACACATTATAAATATATATATTTTTTTATTCACAGAGCCTGTGTCATCTTGGGTGTGATATTTCTTCTGTCCTCCTTATGTATAGTGATCAAAGCCATCCATGACCTGGCAACTAAGTTGCTTCCAGAAGTGGTAAGAGATTACTTTTATTTTGTTAAACAAGTCAACAAGAAAAACAACTGTCTAGTTTCTAATTTTACGATAAGCGGGTCTGTAGATAAACCGTGGCTACAATCCTGTAGAGTAGGCATGGTGGTGGAAATGGCATCATTCACATTGGTAAATTGCCATTAATTAATGAGCCCACCTCCACTCCAGATTTGAGATGGCACACTAGACAACCCAACTGCCGTTCAAGTGGGGACTGCCACTGCCAGTTCTGCCATTTCCCTTCCATTGGCAATAGGATTTGGGCTGTTATGCTTGATGGGGCGGTAGGTGTTGGCAGGCAGAGGTCTGGGGTCAGTGCAAGGCCAGTCTGGGTCAAAAAACAGAGAGGTCACAAAACAAGTGTTTTTGGGATGTGCAAAGAATAATTGGGTCTAGTTACTTAGTCTGCTAATAACTTACCTTCCAACGTAACAGGTCAAGCAGGAAATAGCATGGTTGTCAACAAATTGGGTTATTCACAAGGATCTGACAGATGTGAGGCAAGGAATCAGTAGGAAAGCCAGATATGCTTGTTGTTTCCAACTGTTTTGATCTGGCTGGGTTGGCTGTATATACAGTTCTTGGTGTGGACCCTTGCCTTCACCAGCTGACTCCACTTAAACATTCAACTACTGTACAGCCTCTGCTGTGTTCTCTGCTTCAAGCCTGTGAGTTGGAAGAGTTTGCTGATGGAAGTATGTGTTTGTCTTTGTCTCTTGGAGTGAATGGGCCTTCTCTGGCAGGGCCAGAGTCTGCCTTCATTTCCTCTGCTTTTGTGAGAGACCTGCCGGCTGTTGTGGTTTCTTCCAGCTGAGTTTGATCATCCCAGTGTTGATTCTTTCAGAAAGACCAAGCCATGCAGCACATGACAATAGAAACCTGTGCCAACTTCACAGCTCTATAATATAGAAGAATTCTATTCAAAAAGAGAAAGTTATTCATTTTAATGGATGCTTATGGATGTTTCAATTAAATGCTGTTTTTTCCACTGGGCTAGATAATGTCCTAAATCCAGTTGCTGTTCTCAACTAGAAACAGTTTATTGAATCACTTACTGAATGATGAATCAATACTTAATGCAAACTCATGTACTCTACTCTTGTTGGGACTACCAACTGGATTCAGGTCAAAGTTTTGTTTTGCTGCTCAAGAATGATCCCTCTTTGTCATAATAACCCAACACTTCTGGAATTCAAACTTTGCACTGTGTTTGGCCCTTCACTCCTAGTCTTAAGAATGATTAGAAAGTAAAAGCCTTAGGATGAAACTGGAAACTTGAGGATGCAGGTTTGCCCAAGTTTTCCAAGCTGTTGTCTTCTGACCAGTAACTTGTCCTGTCCTGAAAACAATTTGATAGCATAAGGCTATGGGTACATTATTGGACACCTGGATAAACAGTGCTTTAGTACACAGTGTTAAGGTTTGTATTTTTAGTGTGTCATTGTGCATACAGTAGAACCCCCATATCTATTGGGGGATAGGTTCCAACCCCCCCGTGGATGTGTGAAACCACAGATAGCACCAAACCAATTAAAATGAGAGTTGGGGGAAGGGCAGCAGGAGGAGGAAAGTGTACTGTATGTGCGCACTATGGGCTGGGCTGCAGCAATGGCAACTGTGGACTGAGAGAGGCAGAGGAAAGTGCACGCGCTGAAGAGATAAGTGTGCATGCTCACTGTTGTGTGCTCATGTGCACTGCGGGCTGAGTTGCAGCAGCGGCAACCACAGACAGCTGAAACCACAGATACTGGCTCCAGATATGGGGGGGCCACTGTATAAGCTGTTTACTGACCAGTAAGACTCTTATATATGCAGGGGAGCCCCCCATGAATAGTGAAAAGCGCAGATTATAACAGTTGGATCCAGGACTCCCCTGTATCTGTAATTGTGGGGGGGGGAGGGGAAGCCAGTCCTAGGAAGCAGTGTGGTTTACGTTACTGCCCCTCCTCCTGCCCTGCCAGCCAATCCGACTCTGAGTTTTACTATGCTGCTCTGGAAGAAAGCTTCCAGGACAAAGTGAAATAGTGGAGGCTTTCCTATATAACATAGTGTTTGGTTTCCTCTTTTGGCCAGTCTGATAATTACACTCTGAAAATCCATACTTGTGGATATTTTCATTTAATATTTTTAATTTTTTCCGGCTGTGAATTAATGGATGTTGATCCAACAAATACAGGGGTCCTATTGTACATGTAAGCCTAGTAACTATCTCTGCATTGTTAGGAAATAATGAAACCCAGGAAGTTTCTTGATTTTAAATAAGAAGCCAATCTTAATACCACCATCTCAACCTCAGCCCCATTTCTGCCTTGCAGTGGAAAATAAAAACACCTATTGTTTTACAAAAGTTCTGCCCAATGTAGACAGCATGGGATGGCTGCACTTACAGTGCTGTGTTACTGGTTGTTTGGAGTTTTACTGGGTTCATGTGTGTTTTGTGCACCATCTGTACTCCAGAATCTTCTTCTACTACCTGAAGTGCATCACAGAAAATCATCTTGATCCTCTCCCCCCACCCATTCTTTTGGAATCCACAGCCTTGAAAGCTTGAAGTTCTTTGTAGTATACCACAGAAGTCATTAGAACAGTATTTTATCCAGCTATGATGCGATGAATCGATTTGATCACAAATAGCTAAAATAGATTGGCTCATACACAGCATAGCTCCAGGGTGCAGTCTGGAAATGAAGACAGGAGGACTTATTTCTGGTGATTCTTCAAAAAATTCAATTTGCTGTAAAATGTCAAATTATATTAATCATATTTCTTTTTAGAATGGATTTTCAAAGCTTGCTGTTAAATGTTAACTGCATGACTTTGATTTTCAGTCACATGATTGGGACACAAGGCTTTCCTACTAGTATATGCATTCCCTCATGTTCCAATAAGGAACAAAAAATTAACTCTTGGAGTGGAGTCATATAATCATTTGGCTGAGTTAAACAGTCTCATCTTTGGATTTCTGGATGTAGGTTGTTACTTATGTATTTAGAATATTTTAAACTTGTCTTTCAGGACACACTGCCCTCGTAAGGCAGCTTACAAGATTGCAAAAGATGGCAATACAGTTCCAATGCACAGTCAAGCAGAAACTGCAGGTGGAAATGCAGAGGACAACAGATGTCACTTTAGCCTTTAAAAAAAAACCCAGTCATGATGAGATGCTATGTTTCTTCCCATGAAGAAGCTTTCTAAGGTCTAAGAGAGACCTTGTTGTTGTTTAGTCGTTTAGTCGTGTCCGACTCTTCGTGACCCCATGGACCAGAGCACGCCAGGCCCTCCTGTCTTCCACTGCCTCCCTGAGTTGGGTCAAATTCATGTTGGTAGCTTTGATGACACTGTCCAAACATCTTGTCCTCTGTCATCCCCTTCTCCTCTTGCCCTCACACTTTCCCAGCATCAGGGTCTTTTCCAGGGAGTATTCTCTTCTCATGAGATGGCCAAAGTGTTGGAGCCTCAGCTTCAGGATCTGTCCTTCCAATGAGCACTCAGGGTTGATTTCCTTTAGAATGGATAGGTTTGTTCTCTTTGCAGTCCAGGGGACTCTCAAGAGTCTCCTCCAGCACCACAATTCAAAAGCATCAATTATTTGGTGGCCAGCCTTCTTTATGGTCCAGCTTTCACTTCCATACATCACTACTGGAAAAACCATAGTTTTGACTATGTGGACCTTTGTCGGCAAGGTGATGTCTCTGCTTTTTAAGATGCTGTCAAGGTTTGTCATCGCTTTCCTCCCAGGAAGCAGTCGTCTTTTAATTTCATGGCTGCTGTCACCATCTGCAGTGATCATGGAGCCCAAGAAAGTAAATCTGTCACTGCCTTCACATCTTCCCATTCTATTTGCCAGGAGGTGATGGGACCAGTGGCCATGATTTTATTTTTTTATTTTTTTTATGTTGAGCTTCAGACCGTTTTTGGCGATCTCCTCTTTCACCCTCATTAAGAGGTTCATTAATTCCTCCTCACTTTCTGCCATCAGAGTGCTATCATCTGCATATCTGAGGTTGTTAATATTTCTTTCAGCAATCTTAATTCTGGTTCGGTATTCATCCAGTCCAGCCTTTCGCATGATGTATTCTGCATGTAAGTTAAATAAGCAGGGAGACAATATACAGCCTTGTCGTACTCCTTTCCCAATTTTGAACCAATCAGTTGTTCCATATCCAGTTCTAACTGTTGCTTCCTGACTCACATATAGATTTCTCAGGAGATAGATAAGGTGATCAGGCACTCCCATTTCTTTAAGGACTTGCCATAGTTTGTTCTGGTCCACACAGTCAAAGGTTTTTGTGTAGTTGATGAAGCAGAAGAAGATGTTTTTCTGAAACTGTCTGGCTTTCTCCATAATCCATAATGTTAGCAATTTGGTCTCTAGTTCCTCTGCATTGTTAGGAAATAATAAAGAGAGACCTACCACTGTTATTTCCAGCCAAGTGGCTATTGCTGGAGAAAAGGCTTGGGCAAGCTCCAAGAGGTTTTGGCAGCTCTTGATATAATGTGATCCAAAACAGGGATTTAAAAGTAAAAACTGAAACCTTGAATTCTGCCTGGAAACTGAGGCAGCCAGTGTAAATGATACAGAATGGGCATAATGTCATCTCAATGCCTCATTCCCATAAGTGTTCTGGCTGATATATTCTGTGTCATTTGAAGTTTTTGAAGTCTTCAATACCAGTTTGGATAATTTTTAGCATGGAAGAAGACACTTATTTCTGTTACAACTGCTACTATAATTGTATGTCTTATTTCTCAACATTGCTGGCGCTTGGCGGTGGATCAAAAGGTCCAACAGAAAGATTAGAGGTCAAGTCCTAAACATTTGGAAATGAGAAGACATGATTTGTAAAATCACTGTTTTTTTTATTTCAGGAAGCAAATTTGCATCTATTGGCAATTGTTTTGATTTGGTAACCACAGAATCTGGAACAACCTTAATTGTTGAAATTAGCATGAAGAGAAGGATGACCTGACCTTGCAGGATA